GATCTTCCAATTTTAGTATTTATTATTAGATTGCATTCAAAACCCTTGAATGGCTGTAAATCTGTTTATACTGAAAGTGTACACAAACTTTTGTGCGATATACAGTCAATGTTGTTAGTAGATTTGATTGTAACTTATTTCTCTTGTTTACTTAACGTTTATAAATATCTTGTTCTTCGAAACTTAGTAGTACAATTTATAACAATGAGTTAATTCAATATCTAAAGAGAAAAATGAATGTAATAACGTTAATTATATATATTTTTTAAATAACATAAACGATAACAATAATTAAAATAATTTGGTTTGTTCATTTTGGATTTTGATGAATGTATTGGTTTTACAATGATATGTACCAATTTTTTTGTATTTGCCATTAACTTTTTGGAGCAGTCAAAATGCTTCTATCTTCAACTTTGAGGGAGATTTCTGGTAGAAATCTGAATTCAGGCGATACATTGAGAAAATAAAAATTCCTTATATTTTTGAAATTAATCGTGGGGAAATATATGGAAAACCAGAAAAATAAATGTATAACAAGTTTCGACAAAAAATATAATTTTTATAATTTTTACCAAATATTTATACTTGAATATCCTAAACATAATTTAATTTCCCAAATTGTTCAGCTCATTTTAAGTAATTTGTAGACATTACAAATTATTGAATTTTTTAGTTTTTATTAATAATTAAATGTGCATACTAATTGTTATGATCGATAAAAAAAGCTTGACAATTTAATACAAGGCTCTTTATGTCAGTTATTAAAGCATTTTTAAAATAGCAAATATATACATGGATAGGTACAGTTTTTTTTTATAGACATTAATTTATTGAAGTTTTAGTTTTGACGAAAAACAATAGTTTAAGTTATTATATCTTAATTAAAAAATATTAACCTTTGTGATTTTAAACTTTTCGTCATATTGAATATATTATTATTAATTTCTATACATAATGAAATTTCCAAAATATTTAGAACAGTTTAAAGCTTGTTATACCACGAACTTATTCACACCGTTCTATGGTATTGACTTATTAAGTTCGAAAAGGTACACTCTAAACCTATTATACATCAGAACGACTTCCATGGTTATTAAAAATTGTGTTTCGTGTTAGACACGTGTGCTTGGACTCGTAAACGTGGTGGTGTTTTAAAAAGCTATAGGTAGGTACCAATATTGCAGTTACGGTATAACATTCCATTAAAATGTATCGTCAGCCACCGAGGGACACAAACAGTAAAATGTACTGCATGGAGAGGTATTGTATGTATACCTACAACCTACCTACCAACGAAGTAATATTTGCAATGCGACTGTAAAAAAAAGTGTCTTTAAGACCAATGTTTCAGTCGATTACCTTTTCAAACACGGTGGCGATGTATGTTTTGTGCGACAAACGAGTCTTTATACGTTTTCTTGTTTATCGCGAACAAATACAGGAATTGCAAACCTCCCTATACTCGTATCATACTGCACACGCGATCGTGAGTTGTCGTTATTATCATTATTATTGTTATTTTTTTTCACCCCTGGCTACCCCACATCCCTTCCGCACCCGACCACCGTGTTCTTTACACTCTGAAACCTGTTCAAACAGTGCTCCAACAGTGCAGTGGCTTTGGGAGCGCTCGTTAAACGGCTCCGGTTCGGGGGCAATTTATTGTCTCTGAATAAATGTCTTCCGAATTTATTGCTCGTAATCTTTTATCGTTCGCTAGGAAAATACAATTTGACGTGCACAGGTAAACACTACAACATAACACAGCCTATACAGTATAATGGCTGCGATGGCCAGACGGGATCAGACTGATATATTTCAATAGTAATTCGACGTGACTGTTGTGCGGAATAATGTAGAGCACACATCATGCAAGCAAAAGAAGAATGAAGGTAGTCTTTCGGAAGAGATTTTACACACAAAATGTCAAGTCAATCACCAACACCAGTTAAACGCGCGCGCCATGTACCGTCAAAATATTTTAGGATGCTCGTGCGAGATTTCATATATTATTATCTTATAGCATGCGAACACTACATAGTGGAATTGTAACAGTATAATATAGTTTATAGTATAAAGCACATTAGACATGAACTACCTATAGAAAAATATTTGTTTTTTCAAATTCAAAATTTAAAAAAAAAACTGAATTATACGTTGACTATACCAGAGAATCTGTTCCGGTTACAGGTTCATAAACTCTGCAGGTGCCCAAGGTCAGTTCAGCTAGTTTTGTCGAGACAGTTAGGTTAGTTTTCAAACTATGGCGCTTATTATTGAAATATCTTCTCTCGTTGTCTTCAAGATGTGAATCAAGCAGTGAACTGCAGACAAACGAGACATACGTATTGTTTGAATTGTCAAAGGGTTTTCACTCTCATGTAGGTACAACGTAGATTGGCGACATTATTTTGGGAAAGTTATTTTTGTGAAATTTGCAGCGATTCGTCCTTTCGGGATGGCCGCTGGTCATTACGTCAACATATTTTCAAGTATAATATAATAATAATATAATAAAAATACAACTTTGCTACGAGTGTTGTATACGTTTTTTTTAGCAGATCACAAAATAGTGAATTTTATAATCCATTAAAATTAAAAAAATCTAATCATATTTTATATTTAAGACTCATTATCGTTGGTTAAAAGTTTTTGATACGTATTAACTACCTAATTAGTTATTAGATATTTGATGCTTGGTTATATGAAAAACCAACAAGATTTATTTAATGAACAATATTACAGTATAATTAATACACCTACGTAGTTGCATAGGTATCTGTAGGTAGGTAGTTGTTGTTTGTTTACACACAAAATTATTAATACAAATTGTATAATATTTTGCTTTGGAGGTTATTCCAATTCGTGACGCACATATGCTTGTTATTTAAAGACGAAATTGTCTTGCAACTACCATTTTATATATTTTTATGCTTGAAGAAATTTTAATATATTTTATTATTATTTTTAATAGCTGGGTTAGGTTAGTTTATATCGTAGTTTTATAATCGCTGATTATAGCACCTATATTTCAGTTCATTAGTGGCAAGCCGATACATAATAGGTATAATATTATTATGTTATTGTTATTGTTATATGTAAGAGATTTATTAATTGTTAATGTATGGTTGCAAAGGTGGGATTGTGGTATAAATATGAACTAGTATTTATAATCAATGATATTATACACTGTTGTACCTATAGGGGGAGGTAAAACTTAAAATAAAGCAGTTATAGAATCGAATACGTTTGGTCATATTTAAAACTAAATTAAAAATGTCAATACAAATTTGTTATATGAGTTAATGAATTATACATTTTAACGGTTGATAAATGATATTTATCAAAATAGAATTATATTTTCACATAGGTTATAAAAAAAACAGGCTAAGTGCGAGTTGGACTCGTGTACGAAAGGTTCCGTACCATTCTCTAGTAATAATACTAATATAAAACTATATTGATGCAATACAGATCAACTTTATGATCTTAAAACAAACAGGATTATTGATAATAATATGTCTTTAAAATAACAGGCTGGAACTGCTGAACGAAAACACTGTGTGCACATTATAATAATAATGTAATAATAAATGCAAAAGACGTAAACCGCGGTAATAATTACGAAAGGTACCACGACTTAGGTATATATAGGTACCCGTAGCCCGCAGTCAGTCCCGTGGCCACTGGTGTTATAATAGGTACATGTTGGCAACACTGCTTATATTATATATTCTGATGGATTTTTAGGATTTGTTATTATAGTGGCAACAGAAATATATCATTTGTGAAAATTTCAACTGTCTAACTTTCACGGTTCATGAGATACAGACTGGTCAGTGGTCACAGACGGACGGACCGACGGAGCCTTAGTAATAGGGTCCCGGTTTACAGTACGGAACCCTAAAAACCAGAATATAAAATTGTAAGTTCATAATATAAAAATAAGAAAAGTAGTCAGCTTTTCTATGGTACAGTTAAGTAAGACGTGTCGAGTGTACATCGCCACTGAATATGTCACTGTAATGTATATAATACGTATCGTGTATGAGTTAAAACTTAAATTTGAATTCAATGATAAATAATTGCATATTATGAATAACTATTCTGAAAGGAAACGATTTTTCAGCCTATTATCATATAAATATATTGGTATTAATATTATTATAGTAATTTTATATTAACTTTGTTTTTTTTACGGATAAACTATAAATAAACAATAATAGCTGAAAATGAATCTAAAAATTTATTGAAAATGTTACTTTATATTTTATATTGTAATAAACAAAAAAGTTTTAAGTCATCATGATTAATAATTTTTAATTCTAACAAAGTAACCAACATTGTAATCTTTGTTTAAATATTTAATATTGTCGACATTTGAACTTATAATGTCTATATACAAATTATGTTAAAATATTATAATTGTAAAAACAATACATTAATAGCTTCGCTCTGAATTTAAAAATTAAATACAAACATTTTAAATTTGTATAGCAAGAAATTTCAAAATTTGTTTAATGAAAATGAATCAAAACTTTAAAAAACTTAACAATTTTAAATTGTTTTCATTTTAATATCCAATTTCTGGGTGGTTTTTTAAAAATATATTTTATGCTTTGAAAAAAATATAATATAATATTATTGTGTATCTAAAATTAAATTTCTATTTACGACTTAATTCGATTGGTATTATCAATTCTTCAACTCGAGCCTGATATATCTTCAATATTAATCATAGGCAGAAATCAGGTCAAGTTATAATGGGGATAGCCAACAACATAGGTAAGATACCTTTAAGTGATATTATTTAAACCTTATAATAAATAATATTCCGGCATTTCTTTGTTTTTTTTTTTTGTTTTTAGCTATTAATGTGTAGTTATTAAGTCTATAATTTAATAACTATTAAGGGGGCTAAGACCTTCTCACCTCCCCTCCAATTTTCCACGATGGATATAATACTATTAGTTATTATTTATTACTCGTTATTTTACCTTCATGTGCATGTACTAATGTGTCGACTACGTAGATCCCGTCAGAAGCGTAGTCCAGTATCCACCAGATGGTCGGCATGGAATTGTTCAGCTCCCAGAATACGCCACGGCCGATCACAAATACCAAATTGTATAGAATTGTGACGGTTACTAACATAAGCCACTAAAAAAAAAAACATTAAAGGTCATAAGATAATAATAATTATGTAATACTGTATAGTATTATTACGTGACCGGGCTAAACAACATTTACTGGATTTGTTAAATGAGATGCGTTTCGAACAGATTATGGGTCAAACTCATTTGCGTCATTATATTTACAGGTGGGTGATCCAGAAGATTAAGGTTTTTTTTTAATATTACCCATAGTCTCTTTAGAAACCCGGTTTTTGGTAGATATATATTTAAATCTACGTTTTTTAAGTGGCCATTGCAGGTCAAAATAATATGATGTTAGAATACTGTTCTAAGTACTTATTCATTTTGTATTTACTATGAAATTGATGTTTATTCATATTATAATATTATTCATCTTTATTATTTAAAAAAAAGGTTTAAAATCAAACTGTATCCAGATTCCAAACTTTACATCCAGTTATTTAATTTAAAAGTGAAAATATTAATATTAAGTATTTATAAACTTATGAATCTTAATTCATTACAATATAATAATTTTATTAGAAAAATTAGATTGAAAAGTCGGCCTAATATTGATAAATAAGTAAAAAAAAATTGATTACCTAGCAAGTGTATGAAAGAATAATTGAAAAAATATAGGTTGTATTCAATAAATTATAAAAATACATTTTTTTAACGAATAGGTAATCAAAAGCTGAGTCTGGACACTACTTGTAGGATGTCTTTGTGTCCGTTTTAATTTTGGTCTGTCTTTTCATCATCGGTATTATTTATTATATTTATTTCAAGCTAAGAATAGGTACATTGTTCTTATAGTTTTGCAATTTTGTTTGACTGCATAATATTTAATAATACCTACCTATTAACTACCTTTTCACTTTATATCAATTAGATAACATTACCATTTATATATAGAAATTAAATATCATGCGGAAACTATGTTTTATAATTAGTAAATGACAATTAAAAATAAACTAACAAAGCATTCAGCAAAATAATGACTGGATTATTTCAATTAACATCCTGCGGAAATATCTATCCATTTATTCTTTGCAAAGTTAACTTATACTTGATCGTGTTCTAGTCAATAAATATTTTGTTAACATGATTCTAAAAATGAAATAATTTGATAGAAAATCTATGATCGTAATAATATGTATTCATTTTATTTTGTGATGGATATAGGATATGTTATATATTTATTTCATAATATTATATTATTATATTATATTAAAGAGAGTATGAACTTGGTACCTGATTAGTGATTAGCTAAATAATATTTTGTGCATTTTAGTGTGGATTTATTACATTTAAATGAGATAAATAATCACAGTGGAAATTTATAAGTTTAGAAATTTAATGGTGTACATTATTAAGATAGGTACAATCATTTACAATCATTCACAATTAAATAATATATTATGAAAAATACAAGTGTTTTAAAACATATAACCAAGAATTAATTTTCTAAATAATTAAAAATCTTAGTCGTAAAGAAATGGCATAATTAAGAATTATAGAATTTATGTTCTTATTAAATCAATATCAAACTGAAAGACTTTTTTTATATATTATATATTATTTTATAATACATAATTTAATATTGATAAATTTGCATAACACAAATATAAATAACTCTTACACATAGTAATTTATAGATCTGTATGGCATATTGGCACTGATGATTAGATCTTATACAAACAAGTGTTATAAAAAGATTGAATTAAATGTGCACGAATGTCGATATACTAATAAATATATCTTTCACCGTTATATTTAAGTGTTATCATTTTATTAGGGTAATAAATCTTTTTCAACATAAAAACGAATTCAAACCTATACATTGGTTTTTATTTTCACTCATTCGGTATTTTATTTTAAATTTAAATCAATTTTACAGCTCAACTACGTCTACAAAGAAATTAATGTAGATTAGTTAGTGATAAATGGTTAGTAAGATTTTAGTCTTAGTATAAGTATATTCGTATCCAGCTTGATAAATGCCATACAACTATGCAAGTAAGTTAATTTAAAACATCATCATTCAAGAACAATTATAGGCAAAACTAAATAATTTACAATTTACATATTAAATACACATAAGCGCAATTTATCATTGTATATTTTTAGAAAGTTTAAATCCCAGGTTATGAAGTAATTTCAAAATTTTTTTCTGAATTTTGTACCTAGAAAAACTATTGGAATAAATTGATTTATACTAATTTTTTTAACTCTGTAGAAAAATGTTAGAGAATTATATTTTTTAGTTACCTAATATTTCAAATTTTGTGATATTAATTTTTATTGTTTTTAGCAACAATGATATTGATAAAAAAAAATAGTTAATGACTCTTTGATAATGAGCAATGTTACTAAATTATAAAAACACCATTTGTGTGTAATATAATTTTTACCTTCTAATACTGTAAATTGTTTTTGTGATTACCTATGTGGCTATGTCATTAAGTTATTTAGTTATTGCCAACTACTTTTTATCGTAATAAAGGAATAAAATTATATTTTACTTATGCTAATATTTTGTGCCATATTTTAAACATACAAATTAATCTTGGAACACTAAATTAAATAGGTACATACGTAGTTAATACTTTTTTTTTTTTGAGATTTTATACTGTTTAATGCTATTTTGTTAGTTTGTTAATACAATTATCAGTTTAAATATGCCCACATTCATATGTACACTATATTTTCTTGAAAGCTATGATTAGAATTAAATTATACACTAAAGTATAAACCAAAGTTTTACCTAGACATTTAGTTGGTTCAGTATAGTCTTCATTCGTCATATTATTATGCTATGTAAATAAAATATCAAATGAAAAACATCATCGTTTGTTACAGTGACGCTGAAACGCCCGAAACATATTATATTATGCAGCTTGTATCAGGTAGTCATGCGAATTAGAAAATTATACTATAAAGCAAATTCAAAGTATTGATTTTCCCTGACATATCACTTGGGAGGTCCTTTGCTATGTACCATGTTGTGACGGTAGTGAAGTGCAATGTGACTCAGTATTGCAAAATATGACTGAAAAATCCATGGGGAAAAACGTGGACATTTTCAAAAAGGCCAGACGTATGTATTAAGTATAAGATATATACGATCAAAGTAATACAATATGTGACGATAATGAAACATTTGGACAATTTTTAATAATTCATGAGCAGTACTGAAAAGTATATAATTTATATAGGAGTAACCTACCTGCCATCAGATGGTTTTAATTAAAGTTATGTTAAGACTTAGATTATTGCATTTTGTAAAATATATTATAATATTTTTTATTAACAGTTTGTTTTATTTAAATGGTATTTAAATAGTATTTAAGATTTTTGTTTGCATTTGATTTCATATTCTTTTTATTTCGTTAAGTATTTATACTAAATTGAATTATAGCTTATTAATTTTCAATTTTGTATTACGAAATTGTAATATTCTATACTTAATAATACGAAATTATAATAATACAATGTAATAAAGAATAATATATTATTGTTTTATAACAAAAAATAAATTGAATTAAAACAATAACAATATTTTTAATCTTTTATTCTAGTTAAAAATACACATAAACAACCTTTCAATATGAATTCAATGAGTAAAACGAAGCTCAGTGGACCCACTTGTGAGTGTTTTCTTTTTCATTTTGAAGTTTTAGGTATAAAATTAATAATTTTAGGAATTTCCTACTTCTAAATAATTTATTAGTTTTCGTGTTTCTGACAAATTTCGTCAAATTCTTAAACATTAGAATTTGTACACTCAATCCTGATAATTTGTTGAGGTATTTACCTTATAAGTTATAAATCAACAAAGATGGAAATATTTTATTTTTGGATAGAAATTCTTAATGAAATTGTATGTCCTTCTAAAATTAAACATGTCAACCAAATTAAATGTGTATTCGTAGAAGTATATTATGAGAGTCCTAGTGTCATGGTATACGGAAGTATATAATTGATCGTAAAACAGTTATGCAAGACGACTTACATTTTTAGATATTATGTAGGTATAAATGTATATGTAAACATTATATTATTTAAATTGAACCAGAGTCGTTTTGTCAATCTGGCCATTTTTAAAAATGTTTTCAATATTTATGTTTGATATCAAGTTCGAATATAAAGTAAGAAAGGTTGTGACTTGTAATTCGTTAGCATATTGAGGTAATCATGGCATGTTATACTATGTCAGACCATAAACGGAATATACGACAATACATTCGGTGGTGTATTTAACTTACTAAAAAATGTAATTGTATTTGTATTTTCAATAATACGTAGCTAACGACATTATAATATGTAAAACACAACCTAAACCCAAATCATTCTAACATTCATTATATTTACATAATATTTTATTAGTTGATAGGATTATTTTATAATACTATAATATGCTAAAAATATAACATTGATATACATTTCGTCACTTCGACATATATAAATACAAAATACAAAATACTTAATACAGTAATACAGTATTAATTGTATAATATTATTACGTACAAAGCAATAGGTTTTATTGTGTTATTGGTATGCTTGTACTGAGTTTGTACACAATAATATGCCATATATCATATAATATGTGTAATATAATCGTCATATTATATAATAATTAATATCATATCGTTAGAGCTGTAGTCAGAAAATGTATGGCTAGCTACAGATGGCCAAATTCATATCGAATTATTGAATTCTTCAGAATATAATAAAAAATGTCATTAAACAAAATAAAAGTATTTACATTAAAACGATTCAATTTAAATATTATAAATATAAAATACACGATCGCGAAAAGCCAATATTCATGTAGGTACTTGTCATTATTCAGTTTAACGAAATCATAATTAGTATTGCATTGGCTCTTTTTTACATTTTTGTGTACAAAACTTTGAAAAATTATGTCCACTCAACATAGATATTTATGATCATATTATTATTATTATTATTTTTTTTTTTTAAGTTCACTAATACCTCTGTTCTCCATTTCATGTATATTCTAAAAAGTGAATGTAGTATGTACCTACTACTCGAGGCTCTGTGCCTCTTCAAGCCATTAAAACTTAATTTTTCTGTACTTCAGGTCGTCTATATTATATTGTCTGTTGAATTTCAAATCATATTATTTTATTTATCCTTGTATCCCAACATTTAGAACAATATATAATTGTGTTTTTTTCATCGAACACTGTTTCATTTTATTTTAAATAAACAATACGAATCACTGCAGTATATTGAACTCTAAACTTTGTAATTTTTTTTTATCAAAGAGAAATTTCATGAAATTAACTTAAACATAGGTACCTACCATAAATTGTGCTTATTTACGAAATATTTATAAAAATATATCTATTCATTCCTATTGGTTTTCATATTATTTTTGTTTTTCTTCTTTTTTTGTTTGTATTTCATCTGAGTTGAATAAATTGTTATTATTATTACTATTATTAGTGATTGTAAACATACATTTTATCAACATAATATATCTATAAGTATAGGTACCTACTACCTATATATTTTATAAAATACGCGACATTTAACTCATAGCTTGTAGTATTGATATATTTATAAAGGAATCTAATGACAAATACTAGCCTAATCATCAAACATTCGTCTGTAATAAGTAAAATCATACCAATTTGGAACAATGGCAATACAAATTTTAATCCTATAATTAAATCATTTTTTTTTATCAATACCTAATACATTTATCAATTTATCAAATTTATAAATAAAAAAAATCGAACGTTGAAATGTTTAAATTGAAAGAAAAAAATTTTTTGTCAAGCCACATCTGTTTAACAACTGACAATTGTTAAAAAAAAAAACAAACTTTTATTTAACTAGTAGACAACTATACAATTGTAACTCATAACTCATATTATAATATGTTTTTAAACCTTAGTTCAGTTATCAAGTATAATGTGTTAATGCGTTACTATAATAATATAGTTTTTATAGGACAAATATTTAGTTATTTTGAAGTTTATTACGATATAATGATATGTGAATATTATGTTTTTAATAACATAAAGATGGAGTTTTTAATATTGTTCATTTTTAATACTTTCACACTAGCAATGTCTAAGCACATCGAATTAATTCCGGAACTATGCAAAGCAGGTATAACACTCATGTTTATTGCACCAAATTTACCATAATATGCTTTTTAGTACCTATCAGTTAAAATAATTGAACGGTTAAATAATAAACAAAAGACCATTAAAATCTTGTTTTTAAAGTTATATGATTTATAATAACAAAAATAATTATGTATGGTCTATTATGTTTTTGCGACATTGTTGGTTCACTTCAGGGCAAGATATCTACCTACGTTTAATAGTGGTGTGTTTTTATATTACATTTTAAATTACGAAAAATCATGGTTAAGTTTTTCAAAAATAAATTAAAACTGGGCTCACCGACATTTCTTCAATATTTTTCGACGGTCAAAGGTATCTTTTCTCTACGTTCCAACTATTAGAAAAATATACTCCTAAAAAATACGTGTCATTAAGATTTAAGGTGTTGAATGACATTTTTTTTAGCAGTATATTAAAAGTGTTGTGAGTACAATGTGGTAGAAAAAATATTATTGCAAAAACCTATATTACATCCTTAATTTACTCATATTCTAAAATCAAATATTTTCTTCAAAATACGAATAGTGTAATTTTTTATTGTAATATAATACTACTGGTGATAATTTGAATGTAATTTTTAAAAACGTACAACCATTTGAACACTTTTCGATTCTGAGTGGAACGATGAATATATTGATTTTACAATGATGTGTGTTTTTTTTTTATTTTTGTATTTGTCATCAGCTTTTAGGACAGTAAATATGCTTGGATTTTCTTCAATAGTATCTTTTCTGATAGAAAAGAGAACCTAGTTGGTTCTTTGGAGTTTCAAAAGTAAAAATAGTAGCTTTCAAAAACGCCGTGAAAAACAAAAGAAAAATTAAGAAAAAACGGGAATTTTTACTCAAAATCGATTTTTCACAAAATCGAATGTGGTTTTTGGTGTAACTTTATAAAATGTTCAACTTTTATATCTAAGGATTGAAAATTTAAAAAAAGATTCCACGTTAGTAGTTAATTCTGTTAAATCTAAAAAATACATAAGCACCGTTTATTTTTATAGTCATTTTAAGTTCAAATTTGGACGAAATTACATGATAAAAAACCTAAAATAACTATTTTAGTTATTTTGTTGTGATTGTATAATATTATTCGTGGGTACTTGAAACTTCAAAAGTACACTATTATATGTATATCTATGATAGCACCAGGGTTTGTTGTTGATGTATAACCCGTTTTAAGTGCCTAATGGATATTGTGATATGAATAATTTGGAATTTATTATTGGTCAATTTTTTTTAATACCATAGATAAGTATATAATATAATATGTCTTATACCTAGAAGGACATACCGTCTCCGCTCAGAATCGTTTTTCTTATACATTGATATTATATCATTGAATTCAAATTTAATACCATCTATTATACAGTGACCCACTTGTAACCTACTGTACAGCAGAGCACCTTTCTTAAGTTTTTTTTTTTAAACTATTGTTTCATAAACTATGGTATGTTTGACTGTAGACTAGATATAGCCGTATTTTTATTTTCTACAAATGATGATTCATAATTTGTTTTAAAAAAAGTGAAACTTTTTAAAATTAGTTTTTACCTCCATTTAATCCTTTTTAATAGATTTAACTGTATTTTTTTTTTACGAATTAGTTTTTATTTTAGCCTTAGAAATGGTTTGTTTTACTTGAAGAGTGCAAAATGTGTAAAAAAATGATTAAACTTAGACCCTCAAAAATCTGTCACGAGCAGATTTTAATTTTATTTAAAGAACTGTTTTGGGCAGTTTGCTATTATATAATATGCAAAAAAATAGTTAACTATTAGTAATCTTGCTAATGTAATACTTCTCGTAATGAGGAAATTACAAAATTATATAATTATATAATATATTATATTACTTTACCATTAGAAATTGTAAAGTTTAATATCATAGTTGACATCCTATATGGTGTATACTGCATGATGTGGGTGATTTGTGTGTTAGCCATATATTAAACTAAATTTATAACATTTTGTGACAGTGTGTACTGTGTATACATTTCAGGTGATTCATTTATGGTAAATCATCGAAAACCAACCATTCATGGTATTCTCTCAGCATTGGTGAATACAAATAAACAATGTTTGAGTAATTATTCGTTATTAAAGGTCAAGAGAAACGGTGGAATTGTAGATTTTGAAATTTGTTATGATGAGTTATCATTGAAGACAATTTACGTAAAATTTGAAATCGATGGCATTTCACTTAAAAAGTTTGTAACTGTGATTATACCACCAGTTTCGAATCGAAATATCAATTTGTATCCGGAAAATATAGCGTGTTTTTATACAAAAGTAATGCAAAATAAGTTTTAAAAATTTTTTTTAAATGTTTTTTATTGAGAAATAACTATATTGTTTTAGATTCTGAGCGGAGCGAGGAAGCTAGTGGTTTTACAATGATGTTTATTTATTTATTTTTTTTATATCCTGTATACAGAATTTCTACCAGACGGAATTCTTCGATTTCAACATATATAGTACCTTATCTTTTAGAAAATTGGATCAAGATGGTACTTTAGACAGGTCATTTTTTGAGTTTATCAATAGTTACTTAATGCTACATTAAAAACCACCTAAAAATTACCAAAAACCGCTAAAAATTGAATTTTAATTTCTAACGCTTTGTTTATTACCATAGAAACGAATAAAAAATAATAATATTATATTATTAATTCAACTCACATGATATAATAATTAATGACAATATAAAATATCCAGACTGACAAACCGTCTCCGCTCAGAATCGTTTTTCTTATAATACAATGATAGAATATCATTGAATTCAAGTTAATTACAATTCATTATACAATGACCCAATTGTAACCTACTGTACAGCAGAGTGAAACCACTTCCCCGCTTTTTTTAAATTAAACTTGATATTGCCAATAGTTTTCAAATTTAAAAAAATGTATTTATTTTTTAGTCACTCAAATGATGGAATACATTTGTAAAAATAATTGATTGTGTAATATAAAAAAATCATCCAATTGATTTTTAAAACCCAAATTCATAGGTACTTCATTTACTTATACCTTGCAGTTAAAAATATAACATATTGTCAACCTAGTGTTGTTATCATAATAATTTAATGTTACAAATACTGCTGTATTAAGGTACTATTTCGTAAGAGATAATGTTAATTTTTTAAGAAGGGATCTATATCTACAACAGTATTAAAATGTGTAACTTTTGTATGCATAAAAATAGAATATATATGAATTAGAATGATTAAAATAAATCATATAAAGTGTCATCATAATAATATGTTTGTATCTAAATAGTATCTAGGTTTTGCCGTATATTAGGTAGAATGGTAGATATATTATTATTTTCTAAAATGTTTTATTTTATATGTATATATTTTATATAGAACCATCAAACAGCTCTATTTAAGTATATATATAACAACGGAGATACGATTACTGATTCATCATTTTTAACCGAAGGACATTTAGCAAGCAATGCCGATTTTTCTGAAAACTTTAAGCAACTGGGAACTTTTTTTTATGCTAACATAACGCCTCAATGGAAATCCATTAATCAACATGCGTGGGCACTTATTGAATCTGCCATTAGATCGTATGCGATGGATGTAAGTATGATATTATAAATATTGCTATAGAATTTCTGTGTTTTATATAAATATATTTTAAAAAGGTCACAACGCTTTCAAAACGATTTTGGTTGTAAACATCATTGAACCAAAATATGTATTATGTATAGTCTTATCGAAATTCTATAAATTGGAAAAAAATTACAACAATGACTTTGTATTATAAATGTTTTAATATTTAATTTTTTCATTACAATTAAAATAGTCGTTAAACTTTTAACAAAAAAAAATATTCAATACAACTTTCAAGAAAAAGAATATATAAGCATTTTTATAATATTCTATAATATTTTTTGTTGTTATACAAATACTATTACGTCTTTAGTGTAGTATACATTATAATATTATGTATTACGTGTAGGTACATAAGCTAATAATTATAGCCTAAGATACCACGTAGTCCATGTGGTAAATTGTAATATATTATTATTAATTTCATTTTTGTAAACATTATAATAGATGTTCACACTTGAATTGTTATTATTTAACTATATTGTTATATTTAAAATCCTGTGGCGATACAAACTTTTTTTGTCAATTGGTCTTCCACAAAGTTTTGATGTTGTATTACAATAAATATTATATGTGATTCAATATGTTACTTATACGGTCGTACACATCACACGCGCAATATCGTATAAAATAAATTACTCACAAGCCTAAAGCTCGAAAATCGGTCAAACAATTTCCGGCTACACACCCTCAACCAAAAATAAAAAACAATGTCTGTATACGCCCCCCGGGCCAGTCATATAGGGATGAACTCATGAGATTTCAAATCCCAGAGGAGGGGATAAGAATACAATATTTTGAAACAAGTCATCTATAGCGAATATTTTATAAGAAATGTATAATATTATATTCGTCAATATAATGATAGGTAATACACATATTATACCAAAACAACAGCACTACAGTTCTACTATAGAATATACGGGTATATTGTGTGCAGTCGCAATGTGTTATGATAAAAAATATTCTTCAATAAATCTATGATGGATGTACCTACTACCTATACATAATATAGAATAATCTATTATAATATGATTTCATAACAAACGTTTTCCAATGTATTTACATTTCGTTGGCCTCAACTAATAATTATGTATTTAATTTTTCTTGTTTTTTCCCGCTAATAATGTGATTGTATAGTGTGTTACTAATTCTTATAGTGTGAAATTATGCACCAAAATTTTTTCAGATAAACTTTTTCGTAATACTGTCTATTACAATACGTTTGTCGATTATTGATGTAATAATAATTATTAATTACCATATAGGCACACAAAGTTGTATTGTCTAGTACAATGTTTGCATGTAGTCATTTGGATTCAATTCATTCTATTAAATTAAAATATATCTAGCTGTATAGGATGTGGTTGATCCATAACCTATACTTCTCAAACACGCATTCCATTTAAATCTCAAACCTCAGTCATCGTGAAGTCGATTACTGAGAATTCGCCGAAACTTTCTCGTCAAACGTTCCGCTTTAACATGTTAAACAGAATTTTATTTAAAAAAAAAAAACCATTTATTTTCCTGGATATTGACTTTTCTCGTTTCAATTCTTTAATCTCTATAATAACACTAACGTTCTGTCATAATCGAAACTCATTTGAATTTCTTTCCAAAATACAGGTAAACGGTTCCTAGGAATATCTTACCATTTCATATTACTGTTATTATGTATTATTAATACATTTTTTCACATACATATATTGTGTAACTTAATATTATTAATTTAATACTGTTGGGAATTCTCACTTCACACAGCCAATAATGGCTCTGTAATTAAAAGGATTTTCTTATAAATATTGTAAAGCTATAGTTGGAAATAAATAAATATTATTAGCCGTAGCCATTCCTTTAAAACATGAGATACCGTTAATTTTCCTCAAAAAGAAAAAAACAATTCTAGTACATGTTTTTCCACTGATCACTTTCCTTCATTATTAAAATAAGTAATTTCACTATCTTATCATTTGAATAAGGACCTATAATTTTTAGCGTAGAATATGTTTCTATATATGTGTGTGTATACGTAAACATAAAACTGTATGAAACACATTAAAACTAAACACCATTGTAAAAAAATATAGTAAAATATTAATTTATTATAATAATAATTTAGAACTATAATAACTCTTAAGGGTGTCGGAGCCGGTGCGTTTTTTTAGTACAAAAACATGTTTTACAGGAAAAACTCTCACACCTAGTAGAATAGTCGGATTTCGTTAATTTTTTTTTATTTAAAAGAAGAGAACATTTTGAAGGTAGGATCAAAGATTTTCAAAATTATAATTATAGAAGCTAAAATATGCATTTGAATAATGTACTATATTTGTTATTTTTCAAACGTATTTTTCTACCACTAGTTAAAGAAAAAATGAAAATTCAGCCTTTGATCTGACCTAAAAAATGTTTTATTTTTTAAAATAAAAAAAAAAAATCAACGAAATCCGACAATTTTACAGGGCATGAAAGTTTTTCCTGTGAAGTAATTTTCGTTGATATAATACACCATAACAACCCTTCCTAAATAGGTATCGAACTGTAGATTAGTAGAAAAGTATTATAATTAAGGTAGAACTAAAATATAAAATATAGTTTTTAAATTGTATAGAATTTTGGAAAATTGGAAAAACCGTGAGCGACACCCATAACTAAAATATAATTTACCAATAATTATCGTCAATAGTAATATATTATAATTAATATTAGGAGTGTTGATATCACGGTTATCACGGTGTAGATAACAGTGGTCGATATTATATTATTATATAAGAATTCAAATTAAATTGTTTGTGTCATAATATAACTAAATTAATTAATTTTAATATTTAAAAATTAATAAATATTAATATATTATGATTTTAATATTTGAAAGAAAATAGACATGATAGTATTGTTCAGAAAAATGTATGTAAGAAAATGGAAAGTACCTATCTTTTATTTTTTCCGGGGAAAATGATGCACAGCTGAGGAAAACGGAATCTTATTTTTGGTGGGATCACGATTTCCCAAAATATAATATGCTTTCTGGCTGTTTGTTTCTAATCGATTTCTCGTAAAAAACCTATTTTTATATGTTATGATATATTTGGTTAGTGAAAATACATTAAACAAACAAAACCCGTTTCAGAACGACAAGAAGCTGGAAGCGTACGCGGGCACGCACGGACAGGCGATGGTGAACGGACAGCCGCTGTTCCTGTCGGGCGATGGTCGTATGCCTGTGGCCTCGTGGCTGTGGAAAGCCGTCGTCGACCGGTCCACTGGCGCCGGCATCGCGTTCGTCTGCTCTAACGACCCGTTTGAAAGGGCGGCCAGCCCTCCCTGCGGCGACATGGACGTTTGCGTGGACGGCCACTGGCACGCCGCAGTGGTGGCCGGCTGGTCGTTTTGCTGCACTTTGCAACAGCTCGTGGAGACGGTCCCGGGGGCGGCGGCGGCCATAGTCGGTGGCGCCGGTGTGAAGTTGTTGAAAAGACAGTCAGCTTGCACCGCCACCGACGTCTCCCGAGAGCGCGGCGACGACGGACGACGATGAAGACGACGACGAAGAAGAAAAGACGATTGACGGTTGAGAGAGAGTCGAGTGGATCGGTCGGCCGACGGAATGTCGAGTATCGATAAATAATTATTTACATTCATTTTTACGGCGGACATGTGGTTACTGGTTGTAACGGCTACTCTGCACGTTTTTCGTGACGATTTTTGTGTTTTTGAAAGAAAAGTATTTCATTTTTCATTTTTTAAAGAAGCAATTTTTCCTGAAGCTAATTTTGTGTATTATTAATATCAGATCTTCAATAAATAGTTGTTTTTTTTTGTGTACGATTGATAAGTACTTTAAGTTAAGTTGAGCAGAGTAGTGGTCCACACCATTTCACTCTGCTTGATTAAAACTTTTAGAAAATTCCTCTACTTCCGAATAAGAAAAAATAAATTAACCCTATGCATCATGACAACAAGTTATGAAAATTAGGAATTTTTGTAAAGATTAATGTTAATTATTATTAATTATTAAAAAAAAAATTTCAGAATGTATAATATACAATAAACAAAATATACGAAAATTGACTGAGAAAATAAGTGTGACGTGCTCAATGGATCATCTTGTGTTGATGCTATTATTATTACGACTGTATTAAAGATGTGGTGTCGTTGACTGACTGCTTTGTTCCAGCATAATCCAACGAAACATAATTTTACGATAAATTATTATTATGTTGAAGGGGGAGAGACTATAATACTATCATTAAAAAAAAATCCGAAGAAATAGAAATTTACTAACTCTTTATGAGGTCCGCTGTTTGGGAGTGTCCGTAAGAGAAGGTTTCACTGTATTCCAGGTGATCCATTTAAATGCTGCACTCTTTATTTCGAAAAGTTTTATCATTTATGAAAATATTATTTTTATTTAATTTCATGCCATTTAAAAACAAAATTTCTGAAAAAATAAATATTTTTTACTTTTTGATTAACCCGGATAGAGAATAAAAAATGTAACACAGAGATAAGTATAACAACGAGTCTAAAATTTGAGTTACTTATCGTAGTATAATTATACTTATCTAGTACGTATGGTAAACGTTATTAAAAGTATAGAAACAGAACATAATAAATATTGTATTCTAGTCTTTTAGAAATTACAATACTTATAAATGTCTATAGGTCAGGTATACTTAGTTCTGTTTATAAATCGTACAAATCAACTATGCTAAGTCATAGTGATATATTTTTTTTTATTAGTTTTAAGGCTGCGACGACCGAGGTCATTAGCCTGTAGGTTGGTAGGTTTGGAACGATTGGTACGGTCGGTTAAGAACACTTGTATATGTGGCAAGGTTTTTGCGCACTACGAACCCGGGTGGTCGCCCATCCGAGAACTAGTGGCAGCGGCCGTTGCTTACTCTCAATCACGTAGCGTGATTAATTTCAGCCACTGTGCCGAGCCGAGTCACACATAGTGGTATTATTTTTATTAATTTATATTTTACAAATGTTTACAACATATTATGTTAAGATACAGAAAGACCTACAATTATGTAGAATCTAGAATTCAATACAACAGTTGAACTGCCTACATTATTATTTACTATTAAATTATATATATTTTGAACAAAATATTATATAACTAATATTAGAATATCAAGAATTTATTTCAAGTAACAATACTTACTTATGTCATTATTTCATTTTACATTGACATACGTCTTAAATTGTATTTAAACATTTAAATTTACTTTGTATGAATTTGTAAATAGTAAGATAAATTGACAGACATAAACTATAAAAACATTAATTAAGTTTGAAATCTGTGTTGTTAGTTGGAGTTTAAACTTATAAACTAAAATAACATCTCTCTTATTTAATATTCGTGGTTGAAAAGTTTTCAGTAAATAGTGTTTTAGCAAACATTTGACGAATTAATAAAAAATAACAGTGGATATTTGGTTCACCAAAACTATATGAATGATTGTTACAATTTATTATTTTGAGCAGATGTATCATCTGTGTTTCTACAAAACTTTACTGTAAATATAATTGTATAAATAATTTTAGCTGTCTACGATAGAAAATTAATATTGTTAATCAGTTAAAACCGAATTAATTGTTAAAAAAAAAGAAAACGACATATTCACACATAAATATCATTAATCCATCCTAACACGTGTTATATTTCAAAACTGAAAACATGATTTTTAAACAATATCAAAAGAAGATAAATTATAAATAAATAATTTGTAATATAAGACTTAAGTGATACCTACAAGAAAAAATAGTCTGAACTTAGAATATGGTTTTAACAAATTTGCTTTAAAAAAGAATTTAGTCCTCATTCATAAATGTAGTAAATTTTACAGCTACAATAATTGTAAAAATAAATTAATACCACTATATTTGCATACATATCACTTAAAAGTAAATATAGACTTAAGCCACAAGAAATGTATAGATGTAAATTATATATTCTGTAAAAAGTACCCCATCATAAAAATATTAGTTTTAAATATATAAACAAGTTATAAGTTTAAAGGTAATACATATTTTACATTCGTTGAATAATAAAACATGCAAACTACAAACCTTTTTTAGTCCCCTTATCTCTTTATATTATTTAAATTTCTTCATAGTGTTAAATTTTAATTAATAACAATAACAAGTTAAAACATAAATGATATGTGATTTAAGGAAAAACGTCTATTATATATACTTTTTATTCTAGATACTCTCTCAAACGCTTTAAATAAAATCACAATATTATTTTGAATGTTAAAGAATTTTTTTGTAAAATACCTTCAAAATTGTCTATTTAAATTTTGTAAAGGGTAGACAGGATGATTCCCCAAGCATGCTCACCCCCATTCATCCTTTAATAATGAATTTATTCAAATTCTTATTTTTGGAACTTTTAAGTATATTTCAAAGACCGTATTTTAAACTTCTTGAATTTTTGTGCTTTTTGAAAAGTGTTATGAGGCACAACCTAACGTTTTTGAAAATGATAACTCTCTTTTTTACTGTAAGATATTTAGTGGATAATTTTTTTGAACATTTTGGTGTATTGAATTTTGAATTCAAACGAGTAAGTTCTCAGTTATTAACATTTTTATACTATGAATGATAGTCCTTAAAATTGATTTAAAAAATATAAAATAGACGCAGTATTGGTTGTAGTATTTATAAATTATCACGTAAGTACCATTTTAACAAATTAAAATTGTCGATGGATTGATATTAATTTCTACAATATTCAAACTACATTTTTAATAAAGCCTCCATATCTTCCTAATTCATTATCATGGAAATATAATCCTTAATAGACAAGTTGAATAACTCAAAAACTATTATTCAAATATTAATTCTGATGTTAATATTTTCAGAAAAATGAAGAGTTCTAATTTAGATAACAAAACGGAGGTTCTTATTTGAAAAACTGAAATTCTTATCAACACAAAAAACTTCTAAAGTAGTTCAAAAAATCTAAACAACTTTAAAACAAAAGGGTCTTTAAAAATTCCAAAACTTAGATTGTAAACAACTACATTATTATTTATTGACAAAAGTGGGATGAGCACTGAGCAATTAGTGAGCGTGCTTGGTGAATCACGCCAGTGGCGGAGGCAGAGCTTAATTATTTTTTAGCGGGGGGAGGCGTATGGAGGGGGTTAAAGTATAAAAAATGCATATATTTGCTACAAAATTGGCTAAAGACAGTGTAAAACAAAAGGAAAGTACGGTGATTGGGGGGCCTTTGCCCCCCCCCCTGGATCCCCCACTGAATCACGCTGTATAAAAGTGGTTTCTGATATATTATATTATATATATAGATGTTGTTTTATACCGAAAATGAGAAACTTAATATTATGTTTAATAAATGAGAAAGCTATGTTGTAGGACTCAATGCAATATTTAAATAGAATGTTTGAAAATTGTTCAAATAAAAATAGTAAATACTAAATGATTTAAGTAGAAATTGTCTAATTCCGAGAGTAAAAGGAAAGTTTTTGTGGCTTGATATCGTACATTTTCAACATAAAATCAACATAAAATCGTCCGTACATTTAGAATAGAATTCATAATATATTTACGACATAAATACACAATGATAACAAAAAGTAAAATAATGTTACATATTTAAGGGAAGTTTAAGAGCTAAACTTTTCTGTAAAACTAGTAATAATTATTACCCTTTAATTAACATCAATATTTTATTGAATTTAAAGTTTAAAGTGATACTGGCTGTGTAATTTTGTGCCTGAATGCATTAAACAAAAATAGATAAACATCTGAAACATCAAAGTTTATTCAATTAAAACGTTATTAATAATATATTATATTCAATAAAGTCAATAAAGTATTTTGTATTCGTTTTGAATTCATTCATACAAATTACCAGTTTATATTTTAATTTCTTAACACAGAAAACTGTATAGAAAAGTATAATGTAAATGTAGTCATCATTAGTAGTAAGCTAGTATACTAGCTAATAAAATAGATAAAATATTTCAATAATTTAGTATAATAATGATGGATGAATGTGGAATAAAGGTGGGAGGCAGTGAAGTCACCTGTATAAGTTTTTGAAATTTCACAGATTAACTATTACCTATTGTATTTTATTAAATTATAAATCATTGGAATAAACCGATAATATTTGTTTTTTAGTAGAATATTTTGTTTTTAGTACCTGATACTTACACTCTACTCAATGATATTATTACTATTATACTGCAATATCATTTCATTTACTATTATAGAATATTACTAATATAATTATTTTGAAACGGATTTAAGTTCATATAGACGTTCAATATATTTTAGTAGGTACATATACTTATGTAGTAATGAATTTTTATTGCATATAAATAATAATAATTTATATTTTTAAAGGTGGAAAAAATACACTTGGTCGCAAAATGTCTAAATCCGACATTGACAATAGGTTGTTTTTAGAATATGTATCAAAAACAATATAGTTAACATTTAAAACTTTGGATATGTGCCAAGCCTCTCTAATACGTACCATCCAGGCCTTTCAGT